TCAGAGGTGTCTAATCTCTTTTTGCTTGATGTAAACAAGGCTTAGTTCTGGGATGAAAACCTAAGGTTCCAGATACCAAAAGAAAATATCCAAATGATTACATCAGGGCATGGATTTTAAAAATATTTGGAGATTTTGGTATCTAAAGCAACTAGTTCAGCTCTGTCTGGTAGAGTTGACTGTCTTCTTTGGTCACAATGAAATCTGGCTTAAGATATTGTAATCCACTTTACTTACTTTTTAATATGTAATTCTCACCTAAACAGGCTGCTTTGTATGCTAAATTAAGTTTTCTATATTCTTTTAAGTCACAGCAAGAACTCTTTCATGGATCTGTGGCTATTATATAACATTGATTAAAATCAACACTTCCCTAATCTCCAGTTCTATCGCACTACCTGAGTGGTAATGTTTAGTTTAAAACTTCAGAGATGTTAGTATATTTATACACTGTCACAGAATATTTATCTACAGTAAGTATTTATAACTCAAATAAATCTATAAAGAAAATGAGTCAACTTTTAAACCTGGCGTGGTCCCACACCAGTATGGCATATCACAGCAAAGAAAAAGAACAGTGTGAGTACTTGTGCATCAAAAGATATTACGAAACAGATAAAAATTAACATTGAGATTGTGTAGTTTATATATGAAGTATCAAAGAATTAAATTACAGATTAAGGAATTAAAGCCTGATCCTAAAGCTACTGAAGTCAATGCAAAATACTCTTATCTCTAGGGCAGCAAAAATGACATAAAATAGAAAGACCACACTCATTGTAGTTACAAATCCAGAACTCTCTTTGGCATGCTTCATATTTTCCTCTGTGGCATAGGAGATGCCAAAAGCCACTATTTCTGCAGATGAGGTGTGAAATGCCACTCATTTATGTGTTTAAAAAAGGGTGAAAGACTTTTTTATGATGGTAAAAGTATAATGAGCCAGAGAAAAAATATGTTCCTCCACAGGAAGCAGATTCTGAGGGAAAACTCACCTTATGTTTTAGTCTGACAGTAAATATGCTAGATTTAGGCTATAAATAAACTAAAGGTGTCATTGCACTTTACAGTTTCTCCATTTGCAATATGTTTTTTCTTTACAATAGAGAGGACCATTTCATCAAATTTCTCACTTATTTAGCATGTAAATATTTGTAATTTGTTTTAAAGGACTAGACTCTTCTCAACCATGACAGAATATTCACCATGCAGGACCCTTGCATTTCTTTCCAGTGAATTCTAACATTCCCCTATTCATATTGGCAAAGCATGATTTGACTACCAAACTGTTTCTGGGAATGACAACTCCTAGCCCACTGAAGAGAAAAATAAATAAATAAATAAAATAAATAAATAAAGAAAGAAAGAACATAAAAAATTGGAAAGTGATCATTTCTCTTCAACATGACATACAGGGCAAACTCTGGAAAAAGCTATGGGCTCAGCTTACAGCCTCATCTACAGAGACTGTTAAATTATTATGCCCGATTACAAAAATTCAGAAATGTTGTATGAACATAACTGAGTCCTTTCCAGGAAATGTCATCATCACCATCAGACTTCAGAATGATACATACGCTTGCACTGTCATTCTTGAAATAAAAATCATCAATGTTTTTATTTTAAGAAAAAAAATCTTCAACATGCAGAATGGGAAATTCCCCATCCTCCCTTAATAGGTGCATAAGGACTGCTGAAGCTTCCAGGGCCTTGGTAAATTGATCATTATTCTATGGCAAGGAATATTTGAGACTACTAAGCAAATGAGGGGGTTTGGACTGGGACCCATATATACTACATGGCTATTCTAGCCACTGGGATACTCCATAAAAATAATAATAATAAAAAAAAAATAGAGTAATTAATTAATAAACAAACCAAAACAGACTCCATCTCTTTCTTATTTTAAAAGAAACCAATCATGGTCATAACACTCAGAGAACTGCAAAGGATGTGCATGATAAAAAAGAAGAGAATCTGAACTATGAATAACAGGTAAACTGAGATACATCTCAGTAGGTTTTTTCACTTTTAATGCTTGTCATAAGGAATGAGATTAAAGACGTTATACTTAGTGGCCTCCATTCAGCTTTAGATGGCTCCAGATTCAATTCTTTTAGAACTTCTTCCAAAACAAAGTAACCCCACAAGCCTGGGAAACATCAGAGAGCACATGGAAACTAGATATTTAAAATTTAGGTGTTTCTGCATTCAGTGTTATTGTTTGCCAAATTCCTTTCTAAGTGTAGCTCAGACACATAATTTTTTCTTCATTTTTTTCAATGTCTATTTTTCTCTCTGCATTTTTTTTCCTGCAATTTACCATAGGTTAATCTTGCAGGTTTTTTATTCCTTTTAATTTAAAATATATTTTGAAGAAATTATATTTTGTTATTTTCAAAATGATTTATATTTTAAAGAGTTGTATAAAATAGCCAATTTTCTTTGGGCTCATTTTATTTTAGTGAACATAGTGGATTTGTATGCAATGTATATATACTTGGCTCTATACCTACAATACATCTTGCACAGCTCTTCTTTCTCCTTCTAAATCAACACAGCTCCACTAAATTAATTGAGGACGAATAGACAACATTATTCAAGTGCAATGCCACATGAGTGTTTTCAAGATGTAATGTTTACTTCCCTTTTCCAACAGTAACTCAATGCAGGCTAATAATGGGTTTATGGGAATTTAGCAGGCAAGAGAGGTGAGGCCTGCAAGATACCATAAGCACTATTGATTTTTCTTAAGTGCTAGAGCTTTTAAACGGATTCCTACAAAGAAGCATGCTATATAGAACAGGACTCAGTGCTCTGTCAATTTAGCTGGACAGTGAAAGGTAGATACAGACTAGAAAAGCCAAACAAATGGAAAGACCTCTGGGGTTAATAAAAGTGAAGCTAGGTTCCTTTGTAGGCAATTGGAAAGACATCACAACCATTCAGCTTCACTTCAGTGGAGCGCCTTATGTGGAAGACGTTATCAGCCCTAGTCTTCAAAGGTTAGAAGAGAGAGTGAGATAACTTGCAGGTTAAGATATGCTTCAAAACTCTTCAGACACCAGGCATATGGCCAATTCACCAGTTATAGCCTCAAATCAACATTGACCATATGCATGACAAAACTCTCTCTCACAGTGTCAAATACACAATTAATGTGACAATACTAAATGATCATTTTCAGCTATCCATTGCATTTGCTGTTCACTTTCTGACATATTACTGCATATGACAAAGTGTAACACAAAGAGTATACTTTCCCAAGGCCAATTGCTGAGCAAGAGATCCATCAAGGCTCTTGAAATGCGTTTTCAAAGAAGTTGAAGTGATCTGGTGATATGTTGAAGTGTTTTTCTACACAGAAAACTGAAGTCAAGAACATAGGAATTTAAAATGAGGGGTAGAAATTTATTTATAACATATTCTTCCTGTAATATCAAAAGCACATTATGAGACTTTTTGTGAATAATTCAGCAATTATAAATGATTAATGAATGAAATTGAACCAACTCACTGACTTTTCAACTTCAGAAAGGGAAAA